GAAAAGTAGAAAACTATATCTGTTTTGTGGTAACAATAAAAGGAAGTTAAATGCCATAAGCTTGAGAAATATATTTAATTCATATATTCCTTAAACCTTAAAAGGGTTGTAATTATAAAGTTAGGAAAAGTTAACAATCGGAAAATTATATTCATACGAATAAATATGATATCCCTTTATTCCAGCAAGCTATATGGAAATATTGTTATTCTAGTATTATGGGTCTGAAGATTTTATTGCATTTGAGTTCTGTGATCTCTATTAAAATGTGTCGAGATAATCAAAACAAACTTAAAAGTCCTTTATATCAACAAACTAAACGTTTTTTCTATGTCTTTTTGAAAGTTATAATAATCCGTTTGAAGATGTTTTTAATATGTGTTTGCCTGCGACATGGAAAGAGTGTCAATTTTATTCACTTTATGAAACTTGATCTATCATTATTTCATCATAGTACAGGCAACCCCTTATGACAATTTTTTTCTAAACGTGCTACAAATCGTTAATCTGTGAACAAATGAACTTTTTTTCCCCGACACGATTGACCTTTTACAATTGTGGGCCAATATGAAGCAAATATCATGACCTTTTGCCTGTTTGTTCTTCAGAAGATGTTTAGGGATTTGTATACACTTTAACCTTATTACTGACTTTAAAAGCTTGACAATACATTTAGGTTTAATGAAATTAATATCTTAATAACTTTTTACTCCCTCTTTTCACGAAGAACCATTTACTTTGGTTCATCATTCCGTTGCTTCAAATATCAGCAGCACTGAAAAGAAAAAATAGAAACTCTCGCATAAAAATGGTACAGTTTTGTTTGGTTTAATTTTGTTTAACGTGACCGGGCGGAATGCTGTGATGGGTGCCTTCGACATGGTGTACCAGTGAGTTAGCACTATCAAGTCGGTATCAGATCCACACTACATCAAGGAGGCAAGCCCACCAAAATACCCTGTCTCCTGCACCCACACAAGCAAACACGCATACACTCAACGCATGGATGCACGTCCTTCGATGACCTTAGCTGTTAATAGGACGTTAAATAAAATGAAATTAAACCAAACCATCTAAAGTTGGCATCATATCTGCGCTATCGCAAGGTTGCATATACATCCCACATGCACGAATACATTACTTTCAAGGAGGCTATTGTCGTTAACCTGTAATACGTCTCAATGTGGTTTATTGGGGATATTTGTATAGCCTAATAATAACCATGGATTAAATTATCAAGGCATGCAATCGCGGTCGTCTTCCTAAGCCATCTTGTTGTGATCGTAGCTTTACGTGCGGAATTCGGAGCCGCTTCGAAACTCCAATTTACCATTACATGTGGTTTGGCGTGGCTAACTTATATTGTTATTATAGTAACTCACATGATAATTTAATTAAACTCGCCCGCATCCCCCTATTTATTAGACTAACTTTTATTGTTCCCGAGGTTCCAGATACGTCGAAAATAACACATTTATTGGCAAACTCTGTCCTGTGACCAGATTTCTTGTAGGGTTGTGAGCCTACAAGTGTGAAACGTTAATAAAAGTTCAGTTAACAAAGTTTGTTTCATCATTGCCATAGCAAATTATTGATGTCTGCTCACCGAAACAACCTTTGGTGAATCTGCTATGTACAGTTCAGGCTTTGATGTTGGCACGTATTACAGGCTTGCAGGTGCAGGAAAAACTAATTGGTATTAATTTTAATTCTAGAATATGTCGTGTTATCCTTTCCTGGGTCCCAGGTCATGTTTGAATCGATAATATTACACAATATGATAAGTCGGCAAAAACTGCATTTATGAAACACCTAACCGATATGAAGTTACCATATTAACATTTTAAAACCCGCATATCGATTCCTTAAATCAAAAATAGCAACATCGATGGACGGAGAGTACTAATATTTAACTTAGGAATAACAAGCGTTACCAAGTAAACAGTGTCATAATCATAAAACAGGTTTTGTTTGGCTTGTTTATGTTTGACTTCATGGGGTGATGAGTTGAGTTGGTTTTGAAACAAATTTAATGCAGCAGTTCATGTTGAATTTGTTCCAGACCAATTCAGTTCATCACCCCATGAAATCGACCAAAGCAAGATTCAATCCTTTTTTTCAATCAACGTGTTTTTTGCAATAATTGGAACTTGTTAAGTCCATTCTGGTCGTTTGTCCCAGGTTCTGGAGCTTATGCAAGTCTACGTATCGACGTAATGTAAAAAAAAAAAAAAAATCCGTCATTGCAGGACCGTCATACAACATGGTGGTGTGAGTTGATAGTTCAATACAGCCAAAATATGTAGAAACAAAACACAAAACCATATTTTAAACGTTATATTTAATTTTTGTTGTTGAATTCATAAGATATTAAACTTTCTGACGCGGAAGAATAATGTTTAGACGCGGTGCACAGGCTCAGCTGCGCGTCTACGGCAGCCATCTTTTTACTAGTTCGAAGTAAAGAGCCGCTACATTTTGAGGTTCTTCATCTTCTTGAATATGAATCTGCAGTTATTGAATGTCGAATTAGACAAGAAACCAGGCGTGGCTTGAAAGGATCAAACATTTGATATGACATTTGGCTGTTCGACTGTATTTCATATAAGACGGGACCACATGGATCTACCACAGGAGTTCGTTACAAATGTCTGAAATACACATATGCTATACTGATATGGGTCACAGTACACATACATATACATTTATACACATATGATATACTGATATGGGTCACAACATACATGTATGTTTATGTGTGCTGTGACCCATATCGGTTATAGAATGATATGTGTATTTCGGACATTTGTAAGGAACCCCTGTGGATCTACGTTGTTTTCGGTTTGTGCCTTCTTACACAAGGCAGAATGGTTAGCTGGAGAGAGATTTTTAGGGCAGTACATGACTTGTCACTACCGCTAGCAACCGTGAGCTGATAATATTTTCCTGATTGATCGTTTTTGGTTGTTTGAACAATTTCTTGTGTTGCTTCAATGAAAATATGAAATCTCAAGTGGTACATTTGTTTAAACATGTCAATAGTTATTTCCCTTCTCAAAATCATACGCACAGACAATGTTAATCTGGTCAAATTCATCGAAAATGAAACAGGTTACATTTGGTAGTTGCATTGAGTCCAACTTGAGTAGGAATTGAAATATATCAAATTAACGACTGTGGTCATTTAAAGCGTTACCTTGTTTTTGGTCATGGAGGGAAGCCGGAGTACCGATAGAAAAGTCACCGACCTGACGCCTGTACCTGGCAACTTCCCCATATAAGCCTCGAAACCACGAGTAAGTAGTGGAGGGCTAGTGACGGTAGAATTAAATAGTTAGGAGGTGGAATATATATGGCACACATTATGTACAAGTCAAAATAATTGGCTGGATAGTGATCCTGTTTTGTTTCTCAAAATATCAAACAATAACATTTATATTTTATTATAAACGAAAACATTAACATATATATCGAGTAACAAATTGTAAACACATTTTAACGGTTAAACACAAACGTGAAAGGTCAGTGATGAATTGCCAATTTTCAGTTTGGTATTCTCTTTGACTCTAGTTTCTGTGATATGTATTCAGATATTGGTATCAGTTATAATTGGGACAGCTTTGTCTCTTGCTTAAAACAAGATATTATTCCTGCATAAACTGATAGGTAACCTATTTAATATCCATAAACAAATGTTAAAGAATTGATTCGAACAACGAAAGATACAATTAGCGACAGTGAAAAATACCTTTATTGTGTTTCAGATTGCTATTTCTGTTCAACAAACGCGGAAGTTTTTGTTCGTGATGTTCGCAATATTGCAGGACGTTGATATTTTTTATAATCTCGATAAAAAACAGCCTGCAATATCACTAAAATTTTCTCCATAGAGCTCAGTTTGAGGTTATTCCCTTTTTAAAATTATAGTTCAATGTATTTGCTCTGTTTGAGGAAGACTCAAAATTATATTGTCTGAGTTTTTAACATTTTCAGTTTTTATAAATTATAAAGAGATGAACCTTCTTTTTATAAAACAATTATTTAATAGAAATAGTAATTACAGATGTGATCAAACACCAGTCCCGAAACGTTTTCATACTGAGCGGAAACGAACTATACTAACAGCCACGCTGATGACTGTATGATCTGTGAGCTCAGTAAAGCGCACTCTTCGAGTGATAATGGAGAGTTATTCATAATAGTGCTGCCTGTAGACAGTAAAAATAGTTTCATTGTTTGTCAGAAATTGTCAATTTAAGAGGGTAATGTCGCATCATACTCTGGCTGGTTATCTTTGTTGACATTCAGTAATCTTCAATATGCAAAGCATTCACGCTATATTCGATTTCTATTAGAATAGAAATGTGTGTTAAAAGCGAACATCGGTTGCAGGGATACGCAAATCATATCTCGGTTACTGCTGGATTTCTGTGATTGCTCTGTATAATTTTACATATACGAGTTTTAATAACGGCCAATATTCTCTACTACTCGTCGTTTCACGGTTAGCGAACTCCTTAGCAACGCTTATCACATTATGGCTTTTATTTACTTTCTCAGCCCAATAACTAGTTCAATCATGTAGGCCCAACACACCCAACACACTTCTGGGTCTCCGATACAATATCATCACACTCTCTGTAATTACTGAGTCTTGTTCAGCAAGATGAACGAAAAAATTGTACACGACAAAATTACGTTCAAACAATGGAAGTGTGACTGCGGAGCGCTATGAGTGAGGACTGTCTAGGGATGCCTGGTAACAATGGCTCCATACAGCGGTAAAGCATGTATTGATTCCCAATCACGTGTTTATCGATATAGTACATAGTCTCTCTAAGGAGTTTTGCCTCTCCTCCCACACCCAACCGCTTATCCAATAACAGACGGCCAACACGGCCAATGAAAACATACCTTACATGTCCACGATCTTTGATCGACACGTGACCAATCCAATCCGACCTTGTAAACATGTGAACTGCCATTGGACGACCACATGTATTGTCGGGGAAGACTTATTAGCACGACACGAGAGGTCCGGGTACCCAGTTCATATACTTAAGGACTTACACACGCTTGATCTTTCTTTTTGACTCAAGACATGGAAAGAGTGTAGCTTTATAAAAAAAATATACTTGTATCTTCAAACAAAATTCTCTGGAAAATAAGATTTTACTGTTTAGTATTTTGCAGATTCAGTTAAACACATTTGTAATAATGGATACAAAAGCTATGGTAATCTGCGGAGCGGCACTCTTCTTAGCAATTATCGACTTGGCCTTCACAGATGACGGAAAATTAGGTAAGTATCATGCTACATACTGTATTTTATAATTTCCGTTGTCATTAAGTATATCTTGTCTTGTTGTGAGTACTGATTTTGACGAAATGCATTCATTCATTTTTTGTTATCTTTTTTTTTTAAAAACAATTTTATTTGCAATTTAATTGCGCGGAATATGATTTTTTTCCTTGGAATCCAGTATTTAATTAAAACGGCGGTAATTTGAAAACTCGAGACGTGATCACGAAACATTGCAGATTGGTTTGATGTGTAATGTAAACACTGTTATAATATATAAGCATTTTGTTAAAAAATGTTATAGGTCGATAGCATTAAATTAAATTACATTATATTTCGGAAGACTTAACTTCCTTTGAAACAGCATGACAAGAAGGTCTGTTAAGAAAGTGTTATAACATCATATTGTTTTTCACGCAATATTTAATACCATCTGCAACGTAAGGCTGGCGTAGGAATGTAGATAACGAAACTAGGGTGTTTTAACATTTAATGACGAAGCAGTGTTCTTGAGTTATAATACGTATTAGTTCCCCGTATGACGTCATATTACTTCCCATGACGATATATAAAAACATTTGCGTGATAAACGTTAACTTGACTGTTCAAAAATTGTGTGAATACTCATCGATTCTCTAAATGGTACTTGTGCGTAAAATTATCATCGCAAATAAAACAACAAAACTCACCACGCAGACTATAAAAGTAACGGACGTGTTGCAATTTTTTCTCCGGAATTGACACATGAAACAGGCTAACATATTTACTTTTGCAGAGTACCTAAATGGCCTAGTTTACTCGAGTAAGATGTAATCCGAGTCGTATTATAAAAATCAGAATGATGGTTATGGTGTTCATAAACGTTACTCAACTGCAACGAACGTTAAAAAGATACGCTAATCAATATGCTTCACTTATCTTTAAAATATTTTTTTGAAATGTAATTTTATATAACGTTAGCTCATTGTCTCCGTCAAACTAACCATCTTACGCTACCTTTGAAGAACTATAACACGTCAAATAACGAGCGTGAAACCATTTCACAGATTATGTTGAGCATCTGTACTGATACACCCCTAATCTAACAGGATAACCCCTTTGCCACCTCGATGTCACACTAGTTGCTGAAATGGATGTAAGAGACAGATAACAACGTGCTGGATGTGTCGTCTTTAAAACCGGTCATACTAAAATCCATTTCGCGTTATCTGGGGAAAATCCATATTGGCTTGGTTTGGTTGTGTATATTTAAAAGCTTGTAATACACAATTACGTTCGAATTATTATCATAGATAAGACATTTAGAGCACAGCTTAATCCAATGTTTATGCCAAATTATGATTACGGAACTGATCAGAAAAGTATACTTAACCAATAAAAGGGATTTCTTTAACGTTTATTAACAAAACATTTTTTTCCAACCTATATGAACAACTCTTAAATGCCCGGATAGAGGCGCAGGAGAGTCTTAAAGTGGGGGGAAACTGAAAACCCGGGGAAGAAACCAACGTAGTCTGTCAGTAACCCTATACCTTTCACGTCCGATTTGGTAATCGAACCCTGGCCGTTTTTGTTGTTTATGACGAGTGCGCTAACCACTGCGCCAATTGACCCAACCTGAATAACCCTGAGCCATGCTGGTATGTAGGATATCTGAAATTTGTTTTTCATCATAGCATTTTGTTTTAGCCTAAATATATCATGATTAAGTAACATCGTTTTACAGAATACATACTTGAAGTAGAAACACTGACAATATTAACGCAGAACTAGCAAGATATTTGTATTGTAAGTAAGCTATGGGTATTGTTAATCTACATTAGTGTATTTTGTAGATCAGTGACAATAAAGTTACAGATTTTGTTCATTCTATTGTATTGCAACAGTAGTTAGGCCAATTTGGAAATCCACGTTTTTGGCCCCTAGCATCACTGATGAGTTCAAGACGAGTGAAACTGCTGTATGGCGGTGCATTGTGTTCTATGTTTGCCATACTGTTTCTATTACCACTTGTGTCAGTGCTATCACGTGTGTGTGTGTTAACTTTCATCCTTCCTGTAGGAAGAATACAGTGACAGTAACAACATTACACAAGTGTAGTGTGCCGACTGAATGATGATTTTATACATAAATAGTGTATGATAAAGTTGTTTGATTGTCACAATATTAATACAAGGACAAGGTATGCCTCATTTAACAATGCTTGTCTATGGGGTGACATTAAACATATCACCCTCTCATGGACTTTCTACTTTATTTAATACAAATAATTAAGTGTACGTGTTTTACTCCCTCATTAATAGCTGTTAATACCCCTGTCACCACTACGTCCTTTTGTCGATTGATACTGTGATACAAATAAAAACAATCCACGTGAAATAGACGCTTAAACGTGTTAAATATAGAAAACTTATCTCTAAAGGCCTACAAACGTATTTGTGATCAACTAATATTTTAAGGATGTTGGTAAGTTCCGGCCTGGGGACAGAACCAATTGCCTTCCTCTCATAAGCAATCGTTATAAAAAAAAAAAGAGCCAAAAGTGAGATGGTGCCAAGGGGGGGGCGTTACGTTGTTAAAGATCTAAAATAGAATGGCTTGTAAAGTTATGATACGAAAAGATAAACAACCTTACTGTAGCGATGGGACGCGATACACACATGATTGTCGCCAGAGTACCATTATACACTTTGTCATGTTCTGTTATGACACATAGGGAAATCTCTGTTACAATATGGGTTCCCTTTGTACTATACCTCGCTCTCGACAAGTCCAGTGTTTTGTAACTCTCCAGGATAGCTCCCGATAGGTTTAATCGTAACAAGCAAGCCTTCTAACCCCACAAATGATTGCAAACAAATTCGTTACTACGCGACTTGGAGAATATCATTGAAGGCAAATTGTTACACATCATCAGATATGTTACGAATATGCATTTCAATCCTTCTATTTATGTCCACACTAACAACATTTTTATTTTGTCTGTGTGTGCTTTATTTTGCTTTGTGTTACATTTAATGAAACGTTTTTACAAAATAATGAAACAGCCACATGTCGTGAAAACGGTTATATTTTGTATGACTGTCATTTCCGTCGGGAACCCTACGCCTACGGGAATTTAAGTAAAGGTTTGAATTTGAGATTTACGACATGATTGGTTTCTGATAACACTAACATAACAGTTTGACGGAAAGACATGAATAGTTTATTGGAAACATAAACGTACTTTTATTATTGGTGCAACGCTGAAAAACAACACTTCGAGTTTGTTTATTTGTTTAGCCGCTTTATCGCTGAAATGTAAATCTAACTTATTTCAAAAACTTCATTATATCATCAAATTACTATATAACAAAGAGAGAGATCTACTAGAGCAGTAAAATTATGACTAATGGACAAACAATAAAAGGCATAGATAATACTTGTAAAGCTTAGTCAACCTTCATATCTCGAAATCTTGTGTTGTTAGTTTGTCTGTCCGCATTCGACATCTCTCACAGACATACTATCATTCGAAACAACCCCATGAATAAGGCATCAACTGCAGTTTAAAAACACAGTAGATAGGCGAAACAGGGCTGTTACAATCACGTTCAGACGTTCTGGAAGTCTTTTTTTATACCAACGACGAAGTTCTTGTATTGTAACGACCGCACATTCGTCGATGGACCTAAAACTGAAATTAAGGAATTTGCAAAGTCATTGTCACTGTCGCTTTTCTTATCAGCTCTTCGAAAAATTCAGTCTGGTATGAAAAATAAAACAAGTTGGCCACGAGAGGGACAGACTCTGTTCCCATAGGAATGACAACCGTATATAGGTATATGTATATCGCCAAGTAGGAACTCCATCATTCTCACCATTCCGTGTATAATTTACTTTATCTTGGCGTCTGTCTTTTTTTCCGGAGGTCCAAAACTTCTGATGATAATATTGCTAAGAAGTAGATATAAGAAACAGTTTTGAGGAAGGAATGTTCAAAATTCCAAACCCATTGTTCCATTTCTGGGGAAAGAACAATTTGACACTAACACTGATTTAAAGGTAATAAGAATGACACTAAGATATAATTTTACATATTTAAACATTGTTTATTGGAATTAAAACAAACATATGTACCTAATGCTACGGAAGTCAACAATCAGAAGATTACAGAGAAAATCCGCTTGCGCAGGACGGGAAACATGTATCCTATTCATTTTCATGTCAATCCGCCTTCAAAAGTAAAAATGTGCTTTAACTCTTTTTTCAATAGTTAAATTTGTATAGTTTAATATTTTTTGTCGTCGAAACCCGGTCACCAATTCCGCATTTTAATTCCTCTGAGTAACAGTATGTAATCGAATCCAAACTCGGATAGGAACTAAAAAAACTTCTGCTGATTGCCTGATTTAGTTGCACGAGTTCCCGAAGATTTACAGAACTAGACAATATATATGCTGACTGCACATGTGAAGTTAATAGACAATAAAGAAGAAGTTTAGATTTACTCTTCAATAGACCACGTGACTTTACGTGTCATAAGCACACTTCTGTGCATTGACATTCTTGTCTACCGATCGTCGGTTTAGCCTTTGACCTTTGTTTTTTTTCTGTGTTGTCGAACCTTCGTGATCTTATGTGTTCACGACATCTAGTGACAGACCAAAAGGAGGGACATTTTTATCCTAAATTACGAAATCGTATTTCCGAAAATAGTCATTCACAAGAATGTCACTAAATGAGAATCTGTTGATGACAGCCACTTAAAAAATATGCCCCAAGGGATAAAACTCTCGAACTGCAGTATTGAACAAAAGGATAGTTTATCAAGATCAGCAGAGAATGTTGATTTCTAACCTCGGACAAAGGAGAATACGTTATCACAATTTAAATTTTTCTTGTTGTGCTTCAAAATTCAATGATATCATGCATTACTGGTAACCAATCAAATGAGGATTAATGTGTTAAGCTGATAGGGAAACCTTCCTAAGATGCTCTTCGTGTCTAAGGACGAATTC